CAATGATGATGATGATGACAGTGATGATGATGATGATGATGATGATGATGATGATGATGATGATTATGATGATGATGGTGATGATGGTGGGGACCATAGTGACGATGTTGATGATGACGACGACAATGACGACGATGATGATGAAAGTAATAATGGTGATTAGTTGGACTAACGAAGCCATATTTTATGTCTACTTTTGTACAGATACGTCATGTGAATGCTAATGTTGACTTGTTTATATACTTGTTCGTCTGCTTATTGTCCTCTCTGTTTGTGTTCTTCTGTTTGTTCGTCTGTCTGGCCCACATACTGTTACATGTCTGCGTTTGTAATTTTAGTAACATTTGTCTGCACTCACAACCAATCCCTCACTTAGGTACATATCTTTTATTCACGTTGAAAATGGAAATAATATTTTGGCAAGGTTTCTTTGAGTTTTCTATTAAGCGGTGGCACAATTTTCTACAAGTAGGCCTAATAACGTCTATGAAATATAGTTTATGAATGTTAAACATGTTATGAATGTTGAACAAGTTAGAACGTAATGCAGTAAGTTGTGTTTATTGGAAGCCAAGTACTACCTTACAACCTGGCACGGACCATAAAACTCAGGTTGCTGTTCCTTCTTCATGTCGAGTTGCCAAGTGGTCCGTGTCATTGTAAGCATGTTGGTGTGTATGTATGTGTGTGTGTGTGTTTGTCTGTATGTGTATTCGTCTGTGTTTGTTTGTCTGTATGTGTATTCGTCTGTGTGTTTGTTCGTCTGTATGTGTATTCGTCTGTGTGATTGTTCTTCTGTATGTGTATTCGTCTGTGTGATTGTTCTTCTGTATGTGTGTTCGTCTGTGTATGTGTGTGGAGTGTGTGTGTGTGCGTGCGTGCATGTGAGTCCTTGTGAATCATGTCTGTTGTTAATTATGTGTACCCGTGCGTACGTATGTGTCACTGTATGCATGCTTGGGTTTTATTGTATATAAATATAAATAATATATAATTATAAATAAATAATGGGCTTAAACGTAAGTTATATATGCCCATATCAAAAATGTCAATTTTATGATCATAGAGATAATCTTTGTTGGCCATATATAAGTCAAAATTCTTTTCAAGAATGTGTTTATAATTTCTAAATGTTTGTTTGTGGGTTTGTAAAAAATGTTTTCAATCAAAGAAAATATTTCATTGTTAGAAAATGTAGTAAGTTTGAAACGCGAGACGATTTCTGAGAAGCCGCATTCCTCTGTGTGATATTTTTTTGATGGTTACAGTAAGGGTCAATATTTTTTAGAATTTTAATTTCTTTTTTGAAATCCTTTTTCATGTTTCGTTTTTCCGCTTCGTGAAATGTTAAACACTCACCCGAAGTATCATAACAATTAATAATTTATTATTATTAATTCAAAATTTTTTGTTTTTTTTATGTATAGTAAAAAAATTTACATTGGTCTCCTCTAATGGCAAATTATTTAAAATTCGCACGTGTAATTTATATTTTATTCTTCTATTATAGCTAGAGTCACCAAATTGATTCTGCTAAGAATATGAAAAAAATTGTACTATTGGACGCTAAATAAAATTTCATTTTGAATGCGTTGGTAAAGTTTTTGTAAATTTTTTTATATTCTGTCTCATCTGGAACACCCTGTCTCCTGTGTCAGAAACTCCAGCTCTCTCCACTTAACCGATTTTAAATCTATTTTTTACTCTCAAGCACTTTTTGATCAAAGGGCATGAGAGGATCGTACATTATATTTTACATCTTATTTATTTAGACTCTGATATATAATTGATAATTTTTGATTGATTTCATTTGGATATTATCTTTTTGGTCACTAAAAGAATGTTCTCATAGTTAGTTTTTTAACCAATTATTGTTTATTTTTTTATTTAAAAAAACGTCTTTGGAAGAATTATATTTTTATTAGTAACATCTTTTAACAATACATGCAAATTTTAACGAAGCACAGATTCAATGTGGTTTGCAAATTATAAAAGATATAAACGGCCTCAACTGGTCTTCACCATCCAATAAGAAATATATTTGCAAACAAAAAATTCATTAAAGCAATCGGGTTATATAATAGACAAATCTTTCAGAAACAGCTGGATTGCAAATGGAGAAGCAAATCTTTTAGAACTTCTTACATCTCAGCCGTCAACTAGTTCATTGAAATATAGCAATTTACTGTTAGTCTTTTACGACTACCTACTCATGAAACTTCTTTGGATTGATTATGAACTATCTAAATTTAAAGTAGGCACATAACTTTTATTTGCCTTACAGTCAAACTTCTTGTGCTGGTACAGGAACACGGAATCGAGACACTCTTCTTGGCAGTCACGACAAGTTCGTTTTCGGCTCTTACCTATGCTAGCTTCAAGTGATTCTGAAGTCCGTCCGCAGAAATAACTAGCTGGTAGTCGAAGAGTCTTCTGTTTTGAAGGTTGTTGCGGTGGAACTGTGAGTTGCGACTGTTGAAACTGCTGCAGAATTTTCTCTTGTTGTATACAAAGTAGTTGTTGAAGTTGTTGTTGCAAAAGTAATTGTTGTTGCAGGAGTTTAAATTGTTGTTGTTGAAGCTGTGGTTAACTGAATTGTTGTGGTTGTTTCTGTATCAGTTGAAGCGTATGTTGAAGCTGTTGTTGATATAGTCGTTGAAGTTGTTGAAGTCTTTGAAGTTGTGGTTGTTGAAGCGGTGATTGTTGAGTAGGTGGTTGTTGAAGCTGTGGTTGATGAAGCGGTGGTTGTTGAAGCTGTGGTTGAAACTGGAAATTATTCTGTTGTCTTGTTGATTGCAGTGAAAACTGTTGATGACATTCTTGTGATAGTGAGTTGCAGGTGGCGATAGTTTGATGAAAAACTGTTTGTAGTTGTTGGGACAAGTATAGTTGCTCTTGCTGATATAATGGATGTTGTAAATTCAGAAAATTTCTTGGATATTGTTGTTTAATTTGTTCTATTAGTTGTAGGAGTCGGCTATAAAGTTGTAGAAAGCCTTGTGGATATTCTTCTTTGCGCATCTGCTCCATCAGATAGCACAGCATTGAAAATTGTTCAAGTTGTTTAGGATATTGCTGTTTAAGTTGTCTGAGCAGTTGTTGGAATTGTTCAAATACTTGCTGATATTGTTGTGGTTCTTCTTGAGGGGCACATTGCAGATGGGAAGGTTGTTGTTTTGAATTGGATGTATTTTGTTGTTGTTGTTGTTGTTGTTGTTGTTGCTGCTGCTGTTGTTGTTGTTGTTGTTGTTGTTGCTGTTGTTCTTGTTGGCCTGATTCTAGATCTAATGGTTTAATAATTGTTATCAGATTAAATTGTTATAATCGAGGTAACTTGAAATTATAATTATTATTAGATTTTAGCAGTTATTTTTAGATTGTGACTACAATTATTACCATCAGATATAAAAAAAATTCAAATTTTAAGGACGAATGTATGCTGAGTTCGATTGGTTAGATAATGGTGGTGGGTTGTCATTCAAACGTTCCAGTACTTATACAAAGTTTATCTGCCATTATGTGTTAGCTACTTTCCAACCCAAACTCTATGAATTTCTACTAATTTAATCATACACTATCATATCATTATCAGTACACTATCATATCATTATCATACACTATCATGTCATTATCATACACTATCATGTCATTATCATACACTATCATATCATTATCATACACTATCATGTCATTATCATACACTATCATGTCATTATCATACACTATCATGTCATTATCATACACTATCATGTCATTATCATACACTATCATGTCATTATCATACACTATCATGTCATTATCATACACTATCATGTCATTATCATACACTATCATGTCATTATCATACACTATCATGTCATTATCATACACTATCATATCATTATCATACACTATCATGTCATTATCATTATTATTATTTAGGATAATTTATATAACGCCCATTCAATGTTTTCACATCATTATCATACACTATCATATCATTATCATACACTATCATATCATTATCATACACTATCATATCATTATCAGTACACTATCATGTCATTATCATTACATCATTTAACTATCACTACATTATCGTAATTATCAATTTTATTATTGGATACAATTTTTCTAATTCTGAATAATAAGAAAAGTTCAGCGTCTTCATCAATTAGTAGAGGTGGATGGAAGTCGTCGTCTCCACTGGCATCAACACCATTGATGTCTTCAAACTCATGCCTACAAACGATTAAAAAATAATTTTTTTTAGTAATAATTACACATTTTTAGAAAAATTTTTTGGAAAAATAAAACTTTTCTTTATCACTTCTTCAGTAGCTTTATCGCTGGGTGTAGCCATTTTAACCAATAAACAATTTTTTTTCTTTCTTTTTTTAAAACAAACGATAATAATTGCAAATAATGTTATAAAATATGCCAGTAGGATGTCGTCGTTGAAACAGTAGAACTGTTATCAATTGAATGTTCCTTTGACAGTCACTCCAGTCTTATTTATAGTGAAAATAATAAGCTGTGTGTATTGCATTGTTGTGACAAATAAGATAATTGTGATTGTATTCTTTTGGTGATTAACAATAATTACGCTGTGTATTCAGTTCATAATCTGGAATATTACAGTAAATGTACGACCTTATGTCGTGATGTATAGATATATAACATACAACCAATGTAGTCAATAAGATACTACATTAAAAATGGTGAAGGAATATAGAACAAAAGTTTTTTCTATATAAGTTAAAAATGAATGAAAAAGTGGTTAAAAACTTCGTTATATAAATAAATAAATAAATATATAAATATATATATATATATATATATATATATATATATATAATATAAACTAAACCATTACTTGGGCTTACTTGATTTTCTTTAAATGATTGTTTAAAATAAAGAATAAAAAGTTACCGTAAATAAATTATGTATGAGTTATAAAGCTTTAAAATTTGTAAATTTATTCTTATTATTAATAATTTTTTTGAATAAAATTTGTTATGTTGGTTGGTTAAAAATTGTAGAAAATTTGAACGTCATTAAATTCGCCTCAATTGGTTATAAAAATTTGTCATATCAATAATCGCTCAGCATGGCAAAATTAAATTGTTGCCAGATGACAACATGAATGGTATTCACTTCACAGTGAGTAGCGATAGTTTTGGCCAGAATTTTAATGCATGTGTAAGTTTTGTAAATTATTTTTATCGTATAAAATTATTTGCATAATATTTTTTTGTTTGGCCTCATTATAAATATTATAGTGCCAAACTTTTGAGTCTTGTGTATTTGGTGGACAATCATTCCCTTACTGATTCAAATGACTCAATGATTCAACTTTTTTACGTTTGACAAAATGTTTGCCTTCAAAAATTTTCAATTATCATAAAAAGAGTTTCTCAGAACAGTGCTTGGTGTTTTATTTTGTTGCTCTACTGTTGCGCGATTTGTTGTTAGACTGTACAAACTCGATCAAGATCGGCGGTCTATCTCATTGATCGCTGAAAAAAAACAAACAACATTTGTATTCCTCGAAACTTTTTGGCAACTCTCCTAACCAATTTGATCACAGTTTGTTTTCTCAGTTTGAAAATAGAAAGATATTTACGACAACGTTTATGGCGACACTTGGAGCATTCTGAGAGAGAAAAGTTTAAAAAATAAGTACCTTGTCGGCACCTTTTGCAATTTAAGCCGATTACGAAGGACTGGATGTTTTGTGTTTCATGGCTGATCATCATGTGCTAGTATCTGTGTGTGTGTGTGTGCATGTGTGTGTGTGTGTGTGTGCATGTGTGTTTGTGATTGTGCTCGCGTGCTTCAAGAGATTGTTGTGTTATAGTTTTGTTTTGCTTGTTATTTAAAACATTAAATTTTGTCATGGTTCGATGTCTGCACATTCTGTTGGGCAGGTTTCGCAAGTTAGTAATCACATTGTTAGTGTCATTGTTATTATTAGTTAAAAAAAAGCCTGTAAAACATATTCTTCCACCAACTGAATGTTAAAAAAAGAAATCCTAAATATCCGCCTCTGCTACAAATTTTCGGATTTGACATCGTACCAGTGTTAGAATTAGAAAAACATTCCCAAGAAGCAAGTATAAATTTAGTCAATTAAATTTTCCTTTGTATGAGATGTATGTGTGAGTATGTATGCTGTAAACAGTTATTATCTCCAGATATTTCTTCAGTTATTAGATGCGTCGTGAATGTCATATTTCTGGATGTCTCTAAAATTAAAAGTTCGACGAGTAAGAATTTGATCAAAATATTTTACATTCTTTCAGTGGATTCAAACATTTCTGAATTATTTGGTTTGTTTCTGAGTTACTTAGTTTAAAACGTCACCAGCTCATCATCATCTGAATATAATATTTCAATTGCTGTCACAATTAGACTGCTGAGGAGTTTATCTCGTTGTTGTTGTTGTGGTTGTTGTTGTTGTTGTGTTGTGGTTGTTGTTGTGGTGGTTGTTGTTGTTGTGGTTGTTGTGGTTGTTGTCGCGTGTATAATAGATTACTACGAATACATTTTTTCTATTTTTATTATTATTTTGAATATTTTCATCATTATCATTATTATTATTATCATTATCATTATTATACTGACTGTTCAGCAATAGTAAATTCATTTGAAATTTCGCCAATAGGTTTTTTTAATAATTTTAACTTATCACTCTTTCAAATACCATGGCCAATTTCGTTTGATGGAAGACTAATTAACACTATCATTCGCTCATCATACAGAATTTATTGTGATAGGAACACTGCGTAAACTATTTTAAAATATATTTCTTACTCCTAAGCACTTACCTTTGGCAAGGACCATGAGAGGATCGTGCATAACAATATTAACAATTTATTACAACATTAACAATTTATTTTATTTCATTTTATCAATTTTGGTTTGATTTTATGTCTTCTGCAATAATAAAAGAGTTCAAATTATCATTATTATTATTATTATTATTATTATTATTATTATTATTATTATTATTATTATTATTATTATTGCCACCATCATTTTCCTCCTTCAATCACGTGTCATAATGGGCCAGGCGCGAACAATGCCGCCAGTGAAGAGAGAGATAAATAGATTTGCGCTGATGATGATGATGATGGCGACGACGATGATGATGATGTTGATGATGATGATGGTGATGAAGATGATGATGACGACGACGATGATGATGCTGATGATGATGCTGATGATGACGATGATGGCGATAATGATGATGATGGTGATGAAGATGATGATGGCGATAATGATGATGATGGTGATGAAGATGATGATGATGATGAAGATGATGATGACGACGACGATGATGATGCTGATGATGATGATGATGATGACGATGATGGTGATGATGACGATGATGGTGATGATGATGATGATGGTGATGATGGTGATGATGGTGATGATGGTGATGATGGTGATGATGATGATGGTGATGGTGATGATGGTGATGATGATGATGATGATGGTGATGATGATGATGATGATGGTGATGA